TGATTATTTATTCTCGAACTATCATTAACCATCCACGAAAATTTGGTCGTGATAGTATGCGCAGTTTTCGAGATACGACAGGGGGTGACTATTTCAACCCCTTGGACGGCAGTGCACCTGGGTATTTTTGTTGATTATTTATTCTCAAACTATCATTAGCCATCCACGAAAAGTTGATCGTGATAGTATGTGCCGTTTTCGAGATACGACAGGGGGGTGACTATTTCAACCCCTAAGACGACAGCGCACCTGGGTATTTTTGTTGATTATTTATTCTCGAACTATCATTAGCCATCCACGAAAATTTGGTCGTAATAGTATGTGCCGTTCTCGATATATGATGAGAGGGGTGGCTGGTTCAACCCTTATTGACTCGTATTTCTGCTTGATGAGAGGGTTTTCCGAGGGGTTTTCTATTTAATTGTACATAGAATTGCTTTAGTATTTAGAGGAAAATTAATAAAAGCAAACAAAATTGCGTGGCAAGGTATATTTTCACTTCGGGTATGTTCGGAAATTTTGGCCGCCAGTTTTGGCCGCTCATTTCACACCGGTATCACATTTCAAATTCTTGAAAATAACGTGGTAAAATGCGACGTTTCTTTAAAGTGTAATTACATTGATTGCAAATGTATTTACTTTTACGACCCTAAAAACTATAAAGTTGATTACTTTTAGCCATTGCAAAGAAACAAAATGGCGGTCTTATCCCACCAATCTTAATTACAATGTGCTGTCACCAGAGGTCTCACGGTTACTCTGAATCACGAATAAGCAGGGAAGGTGGATGTTAATTTAACTTTCACTGTATCTGCAAAGCGAATTTTTATGCTCATGTCCTCTGAACCATCCTGTAATGTGATCATGATCTCCAACCAAATAGTCTGGAATCTGTCCTGCTTGCTTTGCGCGTTCAAACGGATGCGCAACAGCCGCCTATTGCGAAAACAAGCAGTTCTTACACACTTCGATTTTTTTAACTACTACTTCGACAGTTAAAAATGAGTGGTATTTACATTGTTGATTAAATCATTGCAAATCAAGCAAAATAATCTTTACACTGAAAACTTGTCACATCGACTAAGACCGATCGGTCCTAACCGGTAGTGGCAGAAAAAATTAAAACAAAAGCATTAGAAACGTCTACAAAAATGTTACTTACATAGTTGTTAACTAGAGTTGTGCAAGTCGCCACAAGTGGGTACGACATTTGCTTGTTTATTGAATTAACAGCGTCGGGATCACTACATCCAGTGTTGGATAGACGAGGCGGAAGTGGCGGCGGAAGGGAGGACGTGTCGGAATATAGGGAGTTAGTGATCATCAGTTCGGAATTTGGAGACGGCTCCGCGTTATTGTTTTCGGATGGTACTTCGCGAAAAAGAAACATGGCGTTTATATCTAAAGGCACCTTTCCATTGATATACAAAGGCTTAGCGTTATTTTGTGCGTCGAGTGAACGATTTCGTTTCGGTAAGGGAGGAGGCACTTCGTTATCTAAAATAAAGCCGTGTGAAGAAGGCACCTGTGCCAGTCTTTGCGAATGTTTCTTACTAAGTTTCGGAGGTAAGGTATGGGAGACGTTGGGAGGTGGACTTTTCGGTAGTGGGGGAGGTGTATCTAAATTATCGAGGCGTTGCTGTAAGAAAGAGACAGTAAAGCAGTGTTAGTGTAGTGTCAACAGCCATATATTTATTTGTGTCTAGCCTTCTCCTGGAGCACCAGGAAAAAGCTACACATCACATACAATGAAAATTAGAAACATCACCGATAAAGATTGATCAAATGGAAGTATTTTCACCAATCTTTACTGTTATAAAAAATGCAGCGTGTAAATGGTAACAGATACAATGAGCCAAAAGCCAACCGTTTACCATTATAACCATTTACCAACCAAGCCGACAATTTTAACACTCATTCAATTATCAAAATGTACAAATTCGTAATGGCCGGAAATTACCTCGTTCTGCGTTCGAACGTGATTTTGAAGTATCGTGTGCAGCTTCTGGAGGTTACTTTCCGCCTTAACTAACTTCTCGCTCTTCTTGTCGTTCGGCGAGACCGCAATTTCGCTACGCAACTGATCGATGAAGCGCTGCTCCTTTTCGATCATCAGCCGAATTTGCTGTTCGCGCTCCAGCTGCAGTTGGTATTGCTTCTCGTACTGCAACGGAACTCTCGATGAGAAATCGCAGACGAGTTCGACGGTACTTACGGTAACTGGTTGAGGGCCCGTGATCCGTTGCGACGAGTGCGTCGTGAGCGGACGGGTGTGAAGACTGGGGGACCCCATGGTTCTGAGGACCCCCGATCTTTGTTGAACTGTCAGTGTTACGTGGCCCGAAGCTGCAAGAAAAAATGGTGGTTATTGGTTGTTTTTAAACTGCTAATAATGCAAATTTTTCGAAAATAAGGCATTCTCTGCCTCGTCAAAAATTAACGCCTCGAAGCTCCAAAGGAAAACGCTCGGTATATTGTTGTGTAAATTACCGTAGTTTGGATGATGTTTAAGCCGCATTATAATTTGTTTATATTGTTTATTTAATTGGGACAGGAACGTCTAGAAATTATTTGCGTTAACATTTGAGAAGTTTATCTCATGTTGTTCCCCGGTCGTAGATAAGAATTGCGCTTACCGCTAAAAGTTATTTAATTCTGTAAACAGATGTTGTCGCAGGTGCGCGTTTAGATAAGAGAATTTTGTTTATTTTAACTAAAGAACTAGATCGGATTGGAGCTCGCGTCGCTCGCTCCTACCGATCACGGCGTTTTGTTATCACACGCCGTTTTTTGTGGTTTTCCGTTTGTAAATTTTTTTTTAGCTCGACCGTTGTGCGATTGTAGTTTGGGTTGTTTTTAAGTGACGTTGGAATTTTATAAAATGCGAAAAACAAAGGAAAAAAATTTTGATTCGGCTCAAAAAAGCACCAATATATCGATAGTCTTTTTTTTTAGTCAAACTCGGCGTATGTGTTTATAAAAATGCTACGCATTTTAAGACTTCGCTAGCGTGAGTTGATTTCCCCCTAATTCCCCTGAAAACGGGGCATTTTTTACGTTTGTGTTTGTATTTTTTCGTTGTAATATAAACCTATTGGGTTTTGGATATTGTGTGCTATTTCGTTTCGTTCCGTGCTATAGGTAACATACGATTCTGTTTTAACTGTATACCAATTCTTTATCATCTATTGATACAAATAAGAAAGTTGATTTTTGTGCATTCGTAGTACGACTTTCTGCGTATGTATTTTTTTTTTTTTTAAAAGACGGTTGTTAGGTTAGGTTAGGTTGAAATGTGCAGTTAGGTTAGGTTAGGTAGGCATGTGCTGTTGAGCTAAATCGAGAGTTACTTTTGACTTTGAACTTGAACTGAAACTTGATTTTGAACCTAACCTAACCTAACCTAACTTTAACTTAATCGTTCGTGCGCAGTAATGTCTTTTAGTTGGTTTTCTTTTGCATTTCAAAATTTGTCCTCTCATCAGTTAGGTTAGATCGAGAGCTTTCTAAAGACACCCATGAACCACTACCTACTACGTTCCGTTTTCGAGATATCACGATTTAAGTGTTTTTGTGGTGTCAAATTACAAATCGCTATATCTCCGTTGTTTACTGTCCGATTTCGTTCAAATTAGGTATTAAGAGGTTGGAGAAATGAAGGCACTCGTTTCCACCCTTTCGGTGCTTCTACCTCCATTCCGAAATTTTGACCGTCCCATCGCTTAGATTACATCGAGACCTTTCCAAAGATACCTATAAAGCCCCATCTACGACGTACCGTTCTCGAGATATCGCGTTTTAAGTGTTTTTGTTGGTGTCAAATTACAAATGGCTATATCTCCGTTATTTACCGTCCGATCTCGATGAAATTTGGTATCGAGAGGTTTGGGGACTCGGACAATTCGATTCCGTCATTTTCGAGCTCGTATCTCGGTTCCGAAATTTCGACACTTCCATCGGTTAGATTAGGTCGAGAACGTTCTAAAGACACCCATGAACCCCTATCAACGACGTTCCGTTTTCGAGATATCGCGATTTAAGTTTTTGATAAAAAATCCAAAAAAACGGTTTTTGCGTAGATCGTCTAGAAATGTCGCGAAACGCGTGATTCCGAAGTATCGAGGTCGCAGGTCAAAAGACGACAGAGAGGCGTCGATATCTCGAAAAGGGGAGGGGATAGGAAAAAATTGAAAATCCCGTTTCGAGCCCCCGGCGGGGCGCAGCTACGGTTTAAATTTGGTCCAGATCGGCCGGTAAATAAGGGAGATATTAAGAGATGCGCGGCCCTTTAAAACGCATCCCTGCGCGTGGTCTAAATTTTTCCCGTGTTATACGTATAAGTTCGGAGATCGATCGCGTACGAGTAGATACGGAAGTGTATATATAAAAATGAGTATATATATATATACCCGTTTGTGAGAAAATGTTTTTTATCGACTTTTCGCGACCCATTTGTTGTCGATGAGGGAAGGATACAATTTGGACGGTTCGAGACGGCGGCGTCGAATGACGTCGCCAAAATGCGAATCTCGGTAATGGAAAGTCGCAGGAGAATATGATAGGTATTGTCGGAAAGCTCTCAACGCCGAGGTTACGATAGTTTAGGTTTAGTGTGGATCGTACTCCCAATTCCCTCGGTGGTCGAGGCGGATCGAAAAAAATTGTAAAAGTGACGTAACGTAACGGCTACGGATTCCGAAAGTACCGAGTCCGTAGGTAGTATAACTTCTCCTCCAGGTCCGAAAAGGTGTTTTTTCGCGTTTTTTTCACGTCTTACGGCAGCCCCCCCGCCGGTGGGCGATAAAAAATTCCAATGTACGCGGTTCGGCGCGGTCGTCCTCGGTACCCCCCCGGGCCGCGGCGACGTCCGCGTGACACTTACCTTCGGTCCTCCGGAGGGCGTTTTATGGGGAAAAACACGAAAAGGGGGGTGGCGCGGGGGGAAAACTGGTCGAGCGATTTGCCCGGTTTTTATATATTTTCATGTCCTCGACGATTCTAGGACTTTTCGTGAAAATCCTGCTTCGGGTAAAAAGTCGGCTTATTTGCTTATTGTAGTGTGTTCAATTAAGAAGTGGGATAAGGGAAATGTGTTAAATAGGAGACGAGTTGTAACGGACGGCGGGGAGTTTTGCCGTTCGCCTTATCGCCTCCGCGCTTTTGTCGACGGATAGAGTCGAACCTATTTATTGAAACCGTGCTCCCGGCTTCTGGGTTTACGGATGTACTAAAGACAGTCAGTTTGTGTAATTATAAGTTTATTGCAGAACGTTAGTTAGTGAATTAAAACACACGGGATTAAATTTTTGATGCCCAACGTGGGTCACATGCATAAATTTTTGGCGCCCATACGATAACATATTAGGGCAAATGCAAAATTTAGATCAAATTTTTGTAATTCAAATTAACACAAGTTAAAAAGTAATCGTAAACGATTTACAAAAAGCGATTTCCACTTGCACTCATTTCCCATGCAACTTCTGTTAAAATTTCGTAAAAAACCCAACAACAAATAAGAAAGTTAGCGTTGCGCATGTGCAATCCATTTTTGAACTGCTACTTCAATTTCAGTTTATAAGAAGAATCCTATTCGAAAATGTTTACAAATAACGAGTGGGTCTGGACATGCGCACTAATTGTTTTGCGTGTTTTTGGTCGGATCGGATGTCGCATGCGCAAAACAATTTTTTTGATTCAACATTAGTTCTAACTTTATTCGAGCTGCCAACATACAACATTTCATTTAAATAGCTCACAAATAAAAAAAATCGGATTACGCATGCGCAAAAACAAATTTTTTGAGTTATCGTGCACACGGACAGAAAGACAGCAATTTATGATACATCAAACATCCATTTTTTTACCATAACTTTTTTCTGAGGCACTTAATGACAACCCGCTTTGCGAATAACATGATTTATCGTTGACTTTTAATTTTACAAGAGTTTTCTTTTGAAATCAAGTACAAAAAGGGAACAAATAATGTAATCGCAGATCAAGAAAGGGGATAGGGGAGGAGTTAAAAAAAAAGTTGCGGTTTTGGTGAACCAAATGGAAGGAAATATGGGTTTGTTGTCGTTGGAAAGAAGACAAGAGGCGGGAAAGTAAAACGTAAAACGGATTTGTTATGTTTAAGGGGGTTATGAAATTTTTGTGCAATTTAGGGGGGTAAATGTTGTGTAAATTTACGTAGAAATTATGTGCTGGTAAGGAACGTCTAGAAATTATATGCATAATATTTGAAAAGTTTATCCCATGTCTTTCTCCGGTCGTAGATAAGGGTTGCGCTTATCGCTAAAAATTAATTCATTTTGTAAACAGATGCTTTCGCAGGTGTGCGTTTAGAAAGTGGAATCAAAAAGAGAAACGTGTTAGACGAAGAAACGGGCGCCATGGCCTTTTTGTCGTTCACTTTTGGTTTTGTTGTTTTTGCCGCCGTTTTTTGGTCATTGGGTAGAGTCTGGCCTATTTATTGGAGCACTGTCACCACTGTTTATTAGAGCAATTGTGGGATAGGTTTGAGTTGTGTCTAAAAGAACAGTTTTGTATCACTTTGAGCCCAAATTACGATCCTGGATCACGAAAGACCTCCCCCCTACCCCTCCCCGATCACGAAAAGGAATCGTGGAAGACAGTTGCAGTTTGTAGAAACCAATTCATATAAGGTAGAATGTATGTTTAGCCCCCCCCCCCCCCATTTTCAAAGGCACCACTACAGGCAGAATTTGGGACAAATTGGTTGCTCGTTTCACTTTCGGAAGCAGCATCTCGAGAAATGATTAATGGGGGTGACCTCCCTTAAGACAACGAATGTGTAGAACTAACTTCCCGATGGGAGGAACGTCCACCTCGCTCCGTCATTTTTGCAAGATGGACCGATTATGATGTACCCAAACGTGTTAGGGAAGAATGGAAAACCGGAGTCTGAGGGTATGCCCCCCCCCCTCCATAAAAGATTAATAAACTTAAGTTTCTGATCTCTCCTAATTTGTAAAAACTGATCTTAAAAATTATGTAACATGAGAACCCGTTAACGTATTTTATTTGATTAGAATTTTACTTGAGTTTTTTCTTTTTTTAGTGCGCGTGAAAGCTCGAGGCGCCGGGAAGTCGTGGGACAGAACGAAATTAACTAGTAGTAGGGGGCGATTTTGCTAAAGCCACATCAAGCTTGCTAAATAGGATGTGAATTTGTGATTCTAAGGGTTCTAATTTGCTTATCGGTGGAAAAAGTTGTGCGTGAATCAAATAATTAAGTTAGTGGGAATTAGGTTGTTGGGAAAAACCGCGAGGCAATTCGAGTGGAACCGAGAGAATTCCGAGTAAGGCGCGGGGCAATTCGCGTC